AGAGAGAGAGAGAGAGAGAGAGAGAGAGAGAGAGAGAGAGAGAGAGATGGAGGTGGGTGTTTGTGTGTCTCTGCCAGTCAAAAGGTCAAAAGTAGTTGGTATATCTAGGTTGGGTATTGGGTTACACTTCTGATTGTGTGGGCATCTTGTTATTGAGCATTACCAAACTTATAAAGCCTTCGATTATCATTTAAAAAAATATATTGGGATTTGCTATAGATTGTTGTTACCCAATTTTATGAATATACTGCATTTCATTGAATTGCACAACTTAAAATGATTAATATTTTAAAAAGATGAATAAAAATGTTGCTAAGTTAAAAAAACAAAAACAAACAAACAAACAAAGATGTTTTTAACTTTAATAAGCCATGAGGAAGCTGCTCCTACCTGGAACATACCATGCCAGCTATCCCGAGTTGTACTACTTCCTGGTTCGGTTAGGCTGTTCTAAAAAAATTGCTAGTTGTTCAAAAATATTTCACTGCCCCAGCTATTTCTACAAGTAACAGGTTGCAAGATTAAGCAGGCTAACTGCTAAGCTTTGCTTATGTGCATTCTGCTTGCTTGGTTGCTTGCATGCTTAGATGGCTAAAGGTACCTGCTGGACATCTGTTACAGAATCAAGTCTTGCCCAAACCCAGTCAAGGTATGAATTAATTTGTCCCAAGTATTAACTTTGTCGGTTTTCTTTTTATAATCCTTTGTCTGGCAATAGCTCGGGCATTTAGGAAAACTCTCTGGTTATGTCTTGGCCAGTATCTTTTTAATCAAAAGGTTCTAATTTACTAAAACTAAAACTTAAGTCAGACCGGAAAATCGCTAAACCCAAGACCCATGACACGATAGTTTTCCCAGGGGTAGATGCCATCACATGAGTTAGCAGTCTCCCAGAGGAATCCAGGGGATCATAACGGATTAGCTCCTTTGTGACCTTATCTACAGATGAATGTGGGAGTTGCTGAATGATTCCTACAAACTAGCCATTTCCAGGAATACAAACTGAAACCTACTCTGACTACAGCCCTCCCCCCTTGGATGATTGAGATATATTGGGCTCAGATAAAGGCAGAAAAGTGTAGAGAGCAAGGGCTGTGTGTAGACCAATAACGATAAAGCTCTAGCAAGGCTTGATTCTGTAACTGAGGTCCAGCAGGTGCCTTAGCCACCCATGCAAGTCAGAGTCTCTACCAGGAACTGTGTTAAAAGGATCACCCCTTAGATTTAGTAAGGCTTTCTGTTAAACTTTAAACAATGTGGCCCATGTGAGACCTTATCTAAAGCAGAATATATGGACTGAGGCATTCCTTCTAGGCTCTGCCCCACAGTTGCCTGGCAATAGGAATGTAGCCCGACTCACTATAAAAGGGCTGTTTGATCCTGCGTCACCCTCTCACTCACTCTCTTACCCTCTTACTCTCTTCCCTGTCTGTCCCTTCTCTCCTCATTCCCCTCTCTCCTCTGTCTCACACGTTCATGGCCTGCCTTTACTCCTCCTCTCCCCTCCCTTTCCCCTCTCCACTCTCCTCTCTTCTTTCTCTTCTCTGCTCTCTCCCCTTCCCAACTCGCTAAATAACTCTATTCTATTCCTGTGGCTAGAACCTCAGGGGGAAGGGATGCCTCAGCATGGATCCACAGAGGCATCCTCCCCCCCACACACCATACCACACCTCTTCCAAACATATTCCTGGTTGTTTCTTTTAATAAAACACAATAGAGTTCCCATTTGATTCTTACAAACTAGCCATTTCCAGGAATAGAAACTGAAACCTACTCTGACAATAGCATCCCCCCCTTGAGTGGTTTAGATAAATAGAGCTCAAATCCATGCGGAAAACTGAAAAGAGCAAGGGCTGTGTGTGGACCAGTAAGGACAACGAAACTCAGGGAGATCAGACTGACCATCCCACGGCCTCCTCCTTTCTTTGTGGAGTTCTTCTTGGGACACCAGAACTCTACACCTCACATCTTATCTTCATAAACATCCTGAATCTGAATTCCAGCTTTAGATAAAGACCTTTCTTGAGAGAAGAACACTCACAGAAGTGAAGTTGCCACCAGATCAAGGTCACCACTGCTGAGGTAAGTGAAGGGTGTCTAGGTTCATGTTATTCTATAACCCAAGATGTGTGATAACATGAGGAGTGGTGTCCTGACACCAGGAAAGGAAAGCTCAGGGCTTTGATCTCAGGGAGCATCCTGGGCACAGGAGTATCTTTCAGTGGCCATCTTCTGGACTACAGAGCATCCCAAAGCAGAGAAGGCAACCACTTCCTTTCACCTGTGTGTTCTGGGCCTTGCTTGTCTTCTGGAGAAGTCAAGCTTGGAGAAAGAGTCCAGGTTGGGATACTCAGATGTCCTTGGAGTCTGTGCTGTATGCTCTTTATTTACCCCATGGAGATAAAATCCCAGATCAGAAACAGCCACAGAGAAGCTCCAGCAGATCATGTTAGGACCTTTGCTTTTCAAAAATTCTTCTGCCCTCAATTACTTGTTACTCTGAAAGGTTTATTCTAAAGTTCTTCCTGTTTCTCTCATGCAGTCTGTAAAACAATTTGCTCTCCATATTCAGGGTTTTCACTATAATATAACTTCAGGAGTTTCTCTTTCTGCCCTCTGAATCTGGAGTGCTACAAGCTTCTTGTATCTATCTGAATGTCCTTTACTGTCTCTAAATTTGGGGTCATTTTTGCTGGAAAATTCCTCTATATTGTCCTCAACTCCTAATACCTCTCCACATATGATCCACTCTGTTGGTGAGCCTTTCCTTTGAGCATTTGATTTGATGACTTTTTAATCTCTAACCTCAGCCACCATTTTTAATGGAATTTTAATCTGTAAATCACCAACCAAAGAGCATACTTGGGCTGCTCCAAGATCCTCCCTCCCCCCAGCACATAGGTAGCAGAGGGATACATTGTCTGGCCTCAGTGGGTGAGGATGCACCTAATGTTTTAGAGATTTGATGCCCAAGGGAAGGCAGATAGCTGGTGGTGGGACACCTTCTCAAAGGCAAAGGGAAAGAGAAGGAGGTGAAGAACTCTGGAGGGGGCCAATGTCTGGAATGTAAATAAATAAAATAATTTTTTAGAGATGCTCTGATGTGTGGGGTGGTCAGCAAAGGTCAGGTGAACTTGGGTGTCTAAGACCCAACAGTATAAATGCTGACTGCCCTGGGGATGTGGGTGGGTGGACATCTGTGACTCTGACAGGACAGGCAGTGGGTATCTGAGAGGCCTATCAATCACTGCAAGTTGGCAGATCTGAAGTCTCTGAGGCACTGGGAAATTACCTCAGTGAGGTGGGTAGGAAGGTGAGAGAGAAGAAGATTGATCTGCTTCCCATTCTGTTTCAAATTTATGGCTTCTAACTCTTTATTACTGTAACATACCTATAAAAAATAAATATATAAACTCAATCTGCTGAATACATTTAGTGTAGCTTCTATATAGAGACATACAGACAGACAAGATAGACAAGCAAGCAATTAGACAGACAGACAGATATTAGAGATGAACATAGGGACTGAATAACTGTTTAGGGAGCTCATCTCTGGGTAAAACTAACTCTGCCACTCTGCAGTTTTTTATTGCTTGTGACTCTTCACCTAAGTGTGACAACCCATGCAATTTCCCACATCTAATTTGACACATCAACTGGTGATGTCATTGTTCAGGTCTGTTTAATGGCCACATTGTTGAGAATTCACAGGTATTTCATTCCAGTCATACCTAGAAGACTCAGTCTTGCAGTAGACTTTCTGGTCTTTTGATTCCTGTAGTCTTTCTCTACCCTCTTCTGCAGTGTTGCCTGTCTTAGGTGTAAGTCTTATGTTGTAATGTATCAACTGAGGCTGAGCACTGCATAGTCAGTTGCTCCCTGTATTGTGAGTAGTTATGGTTTTCTGACATGATCCCTGACTGCTGTGAAAAGAAGCATCTTTGATGGGTAATGAGTGAGAGTCCCACATACCTGTGGGATAAGAATTGAGGAGCAGTTAGGAATTATAATTTGGATAGGAAACTGGCCTCAGTGGGTTCTCTTCTGAGACTTATGACCTCACTAGTCACATATGGTTGGTTAGGTTTTCAGTTACCAGGCATGATTTTCTTCCTCTTCAGACAGCCTGAAGTCAAACTAAACAGTGGTGTGTTATAACCAACACATAAATGCCACAGTTGCACCTTTACAGTTATCACAATGTTATGGTCATCATTGTGCTTCATAGGTGTCACAGCTAGATAGGCTATTACTTTCCTCCCTTGGCAACATGACAGCACCTTCTGATATTCTGAAAGCTATTCGTTAGGGAAAGACTTCTGGGTCAGATTCAGTTTGATTTCTCCAAGTTCTGTATCTCAAGTGTGTAGTGCCTTCAGAGAAGGGACCTTGAACTTCTGAGGCTCAAGTAAGGGTAGCAGCAATTGCCTGTATTTGGGGAGTGTCATGGACACCACTGTCAAACAACTCAAAAGAAGTTTCTCATGCCTGACAATGAAGTTTCTGTTAGTCTGTGACTCAGAGGGAAGGTATTGTCAACCACAGGAAGTATCATGACTTCATATAAAAGATATACATATGTAGGCATGTGTTCCTATATATACTATAAATAACAAGTAAATATGAAATAGTGATTCCCAATATAGTCTTTTTCCATAGTTTCGTTTTAACTCTTTCTCCAAGTTATTCCTTGTGTTTTCTGGAATATCCAAGCCAGTGTGATTTTGAGAAATGTTATTACCTTAAAAATCTGGACCATATTACATGCTTGTCAGAGTTCTCCCAGAATTTACCCGTCAGTTCTTGCTGTGTTCACTGGATGCATAATCTGTTGGAAGCTCTCATCCTTAGTTTGTCTTGATTTCCAACCTCATGAACCCAGAGAACACAGTACTGGGGAGCACACAACTCGCACTTCTGAACACTAGGAAGCAGGGCCCGTTGTGCCCTCTTAGGAGTCTGCCTACAGCAGAGGCCATGTCCCACTTCTACTAAGACAAAAGAAGGAACTCGCAGTTAGTTGAACATACTCTTCAAATCAGTCTTTCTGCCCCTTGTGCTATGTCATTCCCTCAGTATACGATAACGAGGCAATGAGGTCAGAGTTCCAAAGGACCTACCTTAGTAAAGGGTTTGTATAAGGGTGAGGACCCAGCCAGAAGAAATATTGTGTCTTTTATATTGAATGTACTGCTCTGTCTTTTTAGGGTTGGTACCCTGCATGGGTTCATTTTATTGAAAATAAAGGAATTTAATGGAAATGCACTTTGCTCATTTAAAGAAAATACAGGAATTTAAAGATGACTTTAAACTGATAATAAAGGCTGCAGTGGGTAACTTCACAGAGTAAGTGAAGTCTGACTTAGACCAATAGGTGTGAGGAAATTTCTAGGGGAAAGCAAAACCTGAACAAGACTACTTGTTCTATCCAGGTCAGCAAAAGAAACAGCAACCTAGAGAAGAGAGGAAAGGCAATACTGGATTTCATGTGGGTCGAGGGAGGGTCCCACTTTACTATAAGAAGAAACACCAAGGCTTCGTTCTGCTTTAATTAATGATTAGCATTTCTTTCCTCTCTTCTCCATTCAGCTTCTTCCACACAGAGCCATGGCTTGGGCCTCCAGCCTTAATGCATTCTTTAAGAATTTTAAGAGGGAAAGCAAAATCATCCCCGAGGACACCATCACCTTGATTGAGGCTTATGTAGCAAAAAATAAGCTTCAGAACGCTGTTTCTGTAATCGAAAATGCACTGAAAAGCATCGAGAGTGCTCCTCTGAACATAGCTGTGACAGGGGAAACAGGCACAGGGAAATCCACTTTCATAAATGCCCTGAGGGGAGTTGGGCAGGAAGAAGAAGGTGCAGCTCCCAATGGAGTGGTAGAGACAACCATGAGGAGAATTGCATACCCACATGCAAAGCTTCAGAAGGTGACAATATGGGACCTGCCTGGCATTGGGTCCACTAACTTTCCACCAGAAAGCTACCTAACAGAAATGAAGTTCAACGAGTACGACTTCTTCATTATCATCTCGTCTACACGCTTCAAAGAAAATGATGCACAACTGGCCAAAGCCATTGAAATGATGGGGATGAATTTCTACTTTGTCAGAACCAAGATAGACAATGACTTAGGTAATGAACAGATGAGTAAGCCTAAGACTTTCAATAAGGAGAAGGTCCTCATGAAAATTCGAGATGACTGTTCAGAGCACCTTCAGGAGGCTCTCTTCCATGAGCCTCCTGTCTTCCTAGTCTCTAACTTTCATATGTCAGACTATGACTTCCCAAAGCTGGAAACCAAACTCCTAGAGGATCTCCCAGCCCACAAGCGCCACATCTTCTCCCTGTCTTTGCAAAGTCTTACTGAGGCCACCATTAACTATAAGAGAGATTCCCTGAAGCAAAAAGTCTTCCTGGAGGCTGTAAGGGCTGGAACTTTGGCATCCATTCCATTTGGAGGCATGATCATGGGTGAGTTAGAGAATCTAGATGAAACATTCAATCTCTACAGGTCTTACTTTGGGCTGGATGATGCCTCACTGGAAAACTATGCCAAAGATTTTAACATGTCTGTGAATGACTTTAAGGTACACCTTCGGTTTCCCCATTTGTTTGCAGAAGGCAATGATGAGTCCTTAGAAAACAAACTATCAAAATATATCAAACGAATTTCTTTGGCAATTGGTGGACCAGTCGCTACAGTCATTTATTATAAGAGGGCTTACTATTTGCAGAATCTCTTTATTGATGCTGCAGCCAATGATGCCATCGCTCTTCTGAATAAGGGGCTTTTTGAGAAGGAGGTGGGAACATATATACCTATGCCCCTTGAATACTGGGATTAATAGAAAAAATAAGGCATGAGTTCCAATCAGAGTTTACTCATAGCCTTGCTTTGGGCACTGACTCATAGCCTACTCCTGGGTTTGGGGTGGGGGGAGTTTCTATGGAGGGCCAAAGCATTCATCCTTTTCCTTTTCTTGAGCTTCAAGATCACCATGGCAAGTGCTCAATCACACTGTACTAGTAGAAAAAGAAGCGTTTTCAACATTGTACAAATATGCACACAAAGTTCATTTCCATTAAAATCATGTTTAAAAAAATCACAAACACAATACGGATTTGGTTTGCATTTTTTCTCCTCAAATGAATCCTGGATTTTTTATCTTGCGAAAGTCTTCATGAGCTTCTACATTCTCATAGGCATCTCTGTTTGTCCCATCTGGTGCCCTACACAATATAGACAAACACAGTGTAACCCAACAGGGATACCCAGAACTGGGTGTCTCAGGAGATTCTAGATGTTGTCAAATTGACAATTAACACTAATAACTCCATGTACTAACCAAGTCTGGGTTCTTTGGTGACAATGGTAGTATTCGTGCTTTGTCAATAAAGCTTTTAAGCACTTCCACTTTGCTTATTCCTAGGTGTATAGATGTATAGAAGATTGTTTTAAGCTAGTCACTCTGATATGCTCTCCCACACGAGATTTTCTTTGTTTTTTACATCTATTTGTTCTTTGAACTCTGTGACCGTCCCGCTTTCCAGGCTCTACTCACACGTTTCTCCATTCAGTTCAGTTGTCAACTTACGTGAGTGAACATGCGTTGACACCGTATTCTCTTTCTTATTTTCCTTCCTAATACTCTCCACTGAACAGTCTGCCCTTGGTAGCCACTGACCCGCCTCTGTGTCCTGCTGCTGAAGCTCCCACACCTACTTTGTGTCCTGAAGATGAATGTGAGCATGTGGAGAGATGTGCCCTCCCACGCTCCTAAAATACACACCCCGACTCTGTGTACAAAACACTCACTACCCAACATGTTTTCAGACTTTAATATGTTCTGTGTGCTTCAGTACTTGACAGAAGAAAGCTGTTGCTGACATCTTGCAGGAAGAAGTTGTCAGCAGATGGCATGGGCTGTGAAGGGAAGCTAGCCAGCCCAAGGTGGCAAACATGGCTGTGGCAGGCCTTGCCCTTCTCCTCCATTCCCTCTTCCTCGCTAAAACCAACCAACCAAACAAACAAACAAACAAACATCCCCATTAGATTGTATTCCTAAAGCTACCAAGGTCTATCCTGTTTATTTGACCACTTCCTCTTCCTGAGATTAACTACCAAGGCCTAGTGATCAAAGAATTGACATCCCTCAACTAAAAGCCACTTTTGGTTCCCATAATTAACATGCCCAGTTAAAATTAAACACCTCATCCTAACACAGGTTTTCTCTCTTTGCCTTTATAAACTGCCATTTGCCTATGAGCTACAAGATCTTCAGGGACAATTATGTTTTCCCCTTCTCCCTTATTCCCTTCCCCTCCTCCCTCAGTCTAGTCTCCATGTGTGTCTTTTATTTGCTGCCATTTGACGCTATGGGACAAATGAATCTCTTTTGTGCTGAGAATTTGTTCTTGAGGGTCCTGAGCCAACGCCCTTTCATCTTGTCCTTTATGAAATCTGTGTCTGAGGATGGGAGCCCCCAGTACTAGTTACAGGTAAGTGCATTACAAGTACACATCACTGCCCTCTGATAACAATATGCTTTTGCCTCCTCAGACTGTGGCATCTTCCTAGTACCCCTGCCCCCTGATCATGGTTTATTTAGTCCATTGACAGGTTATAATGGCTGGAAAAGGAGAACCTATGGGAAAGGGGATGATGTCTTGAGGCTGTGTCTCTGACATTCTGGAGACAAAGTCATCTCTTCTCCCACCAAACACATCCTGTCACATTCTTAGTCTTGTCTAAGCCCTGAACATAACTCCTCCTTGGTTTTATCATGAGAGTCCCAATACAATTCTAGGAGCTGAAGAACTGGGATACAGCAGCTGACTTCATCCTTCCTGCAGCTCTGACTCTAGTCTCTGTCCTACCATATCTCGAGAAGAGCAGAGGAGACAGGAGAGCAGCCATTTTTGTCTTTGGACAACAAGTTGAGACCAGGAAAGAGTGAATAATTCCTCTGTTCACACAGAGGAATAGAGTCTGTGAAAAAACAAATATCTACATCTCAGAGCTAGGACACACCAGTTTCTATGAGAGGAACACCAGGGTCGATTCATTAGTTACAAAGGAAAATCTGTGAGGCAGTCATCCTGGGGCAAACAACAGTTCAAGGCATCATCCATGGTGAAATATATCTGTGGATGTTCATGTGTGTTTGACTGTTTGTTTGCACAGGGGTCATTCTGCATGCATGTGTGCTTGTGTGTTACTGATGACCCAATACTTGTAGCTACACACTAGCCTCTACAGTTAACAGTCAGGTATGAAGAGCAGGAGTTCAGCAGGTTGTTAGACCATGGAGATATTTTGGTAAATGACTAAGGATCAAATCCCTGTGAGGACAAGAGTGTTGAGCATGGGACTGAAAGGAACACATGGAGAAGATTGTCATGTACTGCAGAGCCCAAGAAAGTAAAGAGAGAACCACTGGCCATGTGCAATGGTTAACTTTTTGATGTCTTTCCACAGTGAATCCATCATTAACCAGAAAACCAAAGGCTTACTTTAGACAGGATACCTTCGAAGAATTTCAGCTCTGTAGCTATAAGCAGGAAGTAACTTTGTGAAGGTCTGTGCTTTCAGCCAACAATAGGTGATTGCAGACTCTTTGCATTGACCAAGACAGGTATGAAAAAACAGCAAAGTATGAGAATTGAAACAGAGACCTAAGATCAGCTCAAGTTTGTGAACATTGGGATGCCTTTTGTGTCTGTGTGTAGTGTGTGTGGATATGGAAAGACATATATGTAAGCTTGGGTCACTATAACCTGGAATACATATTGAATATGTTGGGTGGCTCTTACTCATTTCACTACATTGTTAAGGACAGTCACTGTCAGCCCCTTCACATGAGAAACTGTGAGCAGAAGCCAGGGGACAGCCCAGGTCCAGCTCTGGATAGGGATTAATGCCAGTTCTGCACAGGACTTACTGAATGGGAGGTGAGCAAAGCAAGCCCTGGCCAGGGAGCACTGTCTTCCCCTCCTCCCACCAAGCCTCAAGTCAGGAGTGTTCCAGGTTCAGCAAATAAATGTAGCTGTCCAGTGAAGTAAGAACATTCCAGAGCAGGGCATCTGCATGCATGGGTGAGGCTTAGGAACCAATGCTCAGAACTGAGAAAAGGAAAAATGTGAGCTCTGCTGAAGATTTGTGAGCTAGAGATGATGAAAGTCTCCGAGGAGGCCAGAGGTCTGAAGAAAGAACACCCAAGATAAGCACTCACAGAGTTCTCACATCTGTTCTTAAAGATGGAACAGAAATATCTGAACACACACACACACACTTCCAGCCTTCACTCTCTTCTCTGATGTCCCTTCCTCACACAGTCCCAGGAATCTTAAAGGTTTGCCCCATGTTGGAATCCAGTGTCCAACTGTGTTTGTCCTTTAATTCCTCCACCCAGCACTGAGCTCAGCAGAGCCTGTCATAAATCACAACTCCCACTTCCTGTTTATCCTCCTCACAGCAGGAAGTTGTATAGACCTTTGAAAACCCTGCTTCTGAAAGCCTGGGAAGCTTGAAGTGACAAACTGTCACTGCCTTCTAACTAAGATGTCACAGTGGAATATTATGAAAGATGTGTGTCATTTTATGTGTATTGACCTGAGTAATTTATGACATAATGAAAATATGTATGGATAATGTTACCACAATTGATTTTAAAAGAAAGTAAGAAAGATAAAAAGTGTCCAGAGTCATCGCTCAATACAGGAAGGTGTCACAATTACAACTCTGTTAGGCAGTGGATGCTGGGGCCTGAGGCCACCCTCACCCCTTGATAGATGAACTGGAGGAAGTCAGACACTGAGAGATCAGGGGAAAATAGAACTAAAAAAGAGCAGCCTGGGTTCTGAGCTGAAGAGAAATCTGAAGGCATTCATTCCCTCGATATTTAGAAGCATGTGGCAAAAGTGTTTGGTGAAGGGCATGACAGTGTTTTCAGGAACAGAGGATGGTAGGAAGGAAAAGGTTTGCTAGGGAAGGGGCAATGAGCCTGAGACAATACTATAAATTGTTTTGAGGGAAAAGTGGCTGTAAAGGGACATATTTTATCCTGGGTGGTCACAACACACATGTCTGCTCACCCCAGATAGGGAGCCCACCACAGACCAAGGTACAGATACCACCAAAGTCCAACTTGTTGAGCCAATGGCTTTTATTGGGATTTCTAACAGCACCAGGAAATACTCAGACAGCTGCATTGCCAAGGCCTACCCCTGCATGAGTGACAGCTCAGGAAAGCTGGGAACCTGGAGCAGCTCAGCAGGTCAGAGAGTGTCCTTTACAAGTGATTCTGGTCTAACCCTCTTCCAGGCATCTCTGGGTTTCTGCTTCTCCCAGGAAGCTGGTCTGGATGCAGGGTCTTCTGTGCAGCTCATCTTCATTAGTCTGAGAGGGACTCTCAGCTTTTATTGCTTACCCTGGCAGGGAAGGTTCTAGTTTAACTAATCAGTTTCAGTACTTCTGCTTTTGTCTGCTCATGCCTGAGCCCTCATTCTTTCTCTCTCTCTCTCTCTCTCTCTCTCTCTCTCTCTCTCTCTCTCTCT